ATCCCGGGCCTCGCGGGGAAGTTGCCTCCGAGTGGCCGGGGCGCTGATGGAACGCCGCCGCGCGGGCGGGGAGCGCAGCGGGACCTCGAGGCCAAGGCGTGGTCCACTCCTGCCACCCGCAAGTTCTTTCTCCTCCCGGCACGGCTTTCGTTCGAAACGCCGAGGAAATGAGATCGAGTCACAACCGAGTCTGCAACCGTGCCGGGTGCTCCCCCCGCCCTTTGTTCTCACAGACCTGTCTGGCAGACCTTTTTCTAGAATTGTCCTCCACACCTGGGGGCCACCTTTCCCAGGGACAGCCGCAAGGCTGGGGGCCTGCGCCTCATACTCCAATCTACCTCGCCTCCCGGGTCCCTCTAGGCTATGCGCTAAACTGCAGAGGACGGGGACAGGTGAGCCGGGGACCGGCAGAATATGGAGCCCCGTCAGTTGGGGGAAACTGAGGGATTCGCAGCACTGCGCACCCACGTGCATGCGCGCACGCGGCGCGAGCCTGAGCAGGGGGTGTGGTGAGGCCTGGCCGTGGCCTCTCGGAGGTGCATCTCTTCGCCTCTGGGTCCGCGGAGAACCCTATCAGTGCCCTATCTGATGTCCCACACCCAGCGCTGCGCCCCGAGTGCAGAAAGCCAGCTTGTGCCCGGCTGCACACGTGGCTGCTCCGGGCTATCATTCATCATTTCCCGGGAGGACATTTCTTTTGGTGAGCTGGCAGGTACAGTTTGTTGTGACCTTTAAATAACACCCCGCGAGACGCCTCTGCAAGGACTGGCCCCGCGCGGGATCACGCGTTGCAATGGCATCTCTGCGCCCTGAGAAAAGCCGAGCCTTTGGGGGGAAGGCAGGAGAAAAGGACGCTTGGGTCTTTTCATTCTTTGCTTTCGTGCAGTGGCAATGGCAGGAAGACAATATCCCAGGTCCCCCGGGAATGCCCTCCATCCCGCATCTTGGAGGGAAATTACTTCGGTACCGCCCCCTGCCACGCCACCGCCAACCCCCATTCCATGCAACCCATGCTTGGGAATATTCCACAGTCGCCAGAGGCAGCTGAAAACGCCCACAAGAAATGTCGAGGACGGTGGGGAAGTTTCTATTACCTTCCCATTTCCAATTTAAAAGCGAACATAGTGAGAGAGGACCCCAGAGGGGCAGGTACGCCCCCAGGCTAAGCACGTCCGGGCCCCGCTGCATGTCTGGATGCTGCGGACATGCGGGGAGGCGGGGGGGAGGAATCGGTTCTCAGAGCTGCTTGCGCTTATCAGCGGAAAGGCAGCGCGTGGCCAGGTGGATGGACGGGTCGCCAAGCTCCGGGTGGGGAAGTGGGGTGTCGAGGGATAGCTATAGGAGGCGGCAGGGTCCACCTTGAAGGCTGTTTCACACCAGCCACAGCTGGTCTGATATGCATTCCAAAGTAGCTAGGCTCCAGAAGCGCGTTTGGTGGGCTCGGAGCGCCATCTGTTGATCACAATTCATAACCAGCACCCTCCTTTGCAATTTTATTAGAGGTTTTTTTAATGGATAAAAAATTTATATATCGTGAAACCCCAAGTCTTAAGTGTATATTCTGTTAATGTTAATAAGTGATTACACGTGTGACTATCCATCAATCCAAAAAGTCTTTAGCCCCTACCGAAGCATAAGGAACCACTATACTTATTTCCATGTGGGTCTCACATGATGGACTGCATAGGAATTAGATTAACTACATCTGTGGAAGGAATCTCCGAGAAGCTCAATAACAGCAGTCAAACAAAGCCATGTACTGACTGTGAACCATCTATAAGTTATTCATGTGCAAATTCAAATTGAAGGTGAACAAAATTAAAGCAAGCCCACAAGAACCAAAATATAGTCCTGAGTCTATCACACCTAATTTTTAAAATCATCTTAAGAGTAGTTTTGAGGTCTTGAGCACCAGTGATTGAGGACTAGATGAGTTGTAGATGACATCAATGATATCGTCACTAGGGAGAACAGAAAGTCATTTCTAAGAAAAAGAGAAAGCCAAAATGGATGTCAGAAGAGTCTCTGAAATTTGTGCTAGAGCATCTAAAAGACAAAACAAGGGGAAGAGATGCTGAAGTAAAAGTTGAGCAGAAGATTTCAGTGGGCAGCTCAAGAAGATAAACCAGAGTATTAAAACAAAGTTTAAAAAAATGTGCAGAAAGCTGGAATTGGAGAATAAAAAGGGAAGAACTTGCTCAGCATTTCTCAAATTGTTGTTATGTGCTGTCGAGTCGCTTGCAACTCATAGCGACCCTATTTACAACAGCCCTAATCTCTGCTCTGTCCCGTGCCAATCTCATCGTCTCGGACACACTCATCAAAATTGCCCCAGAAACTGAATGAGTCCACCTCCCAAAGGGCCTTCCCCTCCTGCGCCTGCCCTCCACCCTCCCAAGCATGATGTCTTTCTCTAAGGACCAATCCCTCCTTACAACTTAACCAAAGTATGTCAGATGAAGTCTCAGAATCCTTGCCTCCAAGGAGCAGCCTGGTTTAACCATCTCCAAGATGAATCTGTTTGTTTTCTTAGCAGTCCATGGTACCCTCAACACTCTTCTCCAACACCAAAGCTCAAAAGCATCAATTCTCCTTCTATCCACCCTGGTCATTGTCCAGCTCTCTGACGCATAACAAGTGATTGCAAAGACCATGGCCTGTATCAGACGCACCTTAGTCTCCAGAGACACACCGTTGCTTTTCAGTACTTTAGAGAGGTCCCTAACAGCAGACTTTCCCATCACAATACGTCTTTTAATTTCCTGGCTGCTGGTGCCAAGAGTGTTGATTATGGAGCCAAGCAGACTAAAGCTGTGAACAATCTCAATCTCTTCACCATCCATCCTGATGTTTCCAGTTGGTCCAGTTGTGAGAATATTTGTCTTCTTGACATTGAGCTTCAATCCATATTGAAGGCTGCAGTCCTTGACCCTCAGCAGCAAGCGCTTCAGGTCCTCCTCAGTTTCAGCAAGCAGCGTTGTGTCATCTGCATAATGCAGATTGATAGATCTTCCACCAGTCCTGATGCCACATTTCTCCTCATAGAGCCCAGCCTCCTGGATGATCTGTTCTGCATACAGGTTGGAAAGGTATGGAGACAGGACACATCCCTGACATGCGCCCTTCCCAATTTTGAACCATGCAGTGTTTCCTTGCTCTGTTCCGACGACTGCCTCTTGGTCCAAGTATAGGTTCGCATTAGAATGATCAAGTGTTCTGGGATTCCCATTCTTCTCAGAGTCAGCCACAGTTTGTTATGGTCCACATAGCCAAATGCCTTTGCATAATCAATGAAACACAGATAGACATTCTTCTGGTATTCCTTGCTTTCAGCCAAGATCCATCTAACATTAGCTACAATATCCCTAGTACCACGACCCCTTCTAAGCCCAGCCTGGATTCTGGCAGTTCTCTGCTGATGTGCCGTTCCAGTCATTTTTGGAGAATCTTCAGCAGAATCTTGCTTGCATGTGAAATCAATGATATTGTTCTATAGTTTCCACACTCTGTTGGGTCACCTTTCTTTGGAATGGGGACAAATGTAGATCTCTTCCAGTCAGTTGGTCAAGTGGTCGTTCTCCAGATTTCTTGGCACAACTTGGTGAGCACGTCCAGAGCAGCATCTGTTAGCTGAAATATGTCTGTTGGTATTCCTGGGGTCTTATTTTTTGCTATTTCCTTCAAAGCAGCTTGAACTTCTTCCTTCATCACCATAGGCTCTTGCTCATATGTTGTTTCATTAAATTCTTCTGTGTCTGTCAATTCCTTTCAATACAATGACTCAGTATATTCTTTCCATCTTCTTTTGATACCTCCTGGATTGTTTAATACTCTGCCTAAAGCATCCTTGATTATAACAACTCGAGGTTTGATTTTGTTCTTCAGTTCCTTGAACTTAAGAAATGCTGAGCAAGTTTGACCCTTTTGATTTTCTGATTCCAGCTCCTTGCACATTTCATTGTAATATTTTACTTTGTCATCCCGCACTGCCTTTTGAAATCTTCTGTTCAGCTCTTTAGTATCTTGAATTCTTTCTTGTGCTTTGGCTTCTCTGTGCTCCAGTGCAATATTCAGAGTTTCTTCTGACATCCATTTTGGTCTTTTCTCAATTGAGAGGACTTAAAAATAAATTCAAAACTCGAGTTGCAATACTGAGAGATGCTATGGGTAAAATCTTGGGTGATCAGAGAAGCG